CGTTTAGTTTGTGACGTCTTAGTTGTGGAAAAAGAACCCCTAAGTTTTGGGGGGGATCAGGTTATCCGCTCCCTCAGCTGACTCGAACTGCTGGTCTATGCTTTGTAGCGATTTGCTTATTCTTGCTTTTATCGAGTGTCAAATACGGTTGATCAAGTTTTAAGCAGTGACGGATCATTTCAGAGTGAAACTCTGGACAGGAGACTTCGGTTACATCGTCCGCTGGGCGGGCCATTCCGTTAACCGCCAGCTTTGCGAATAGTTGCATATCCCGTATGCATCTGATCAATAGCTGCTTCATTAATTCTGAACAGATTCAGATAGGCTGTCGTTTTCAAGCTCCAGCAACTCCTCTCGAGCCAACCAAACAGTTTTGCGCGGTGATAGTGACAAAATGGGCGCATTTCAGCAAGCGCGGGCTGATTTGAGTCACAGTAGTATCGTCCCGCGAGAATTGCTTTACGTCCACTAACCAAGCAGAGGAGAATAGAACCAAGGCTTCCCCCGCGAAGATCTCTGCAATATGTTGAAATATATTGGAACATGCCGATGATAGCATGGCGGAGTATCAGACAAGGACTTTACCTTGCCATCGCCGGTGTGCAGGAGTTCGCATAGACCCAGCCCAGTGACCTGGCCCCATCCTTGGATAACCATATCGAGGATTACCTGGTTGGCAAACATGTCCTTGGGACGTTTTGAAGCCTGAGCGAAGCCCTGTTTTGTCCCATCTGATGTCCCTAAACTTCGGTAGTCTGCTGCTTGTACACGGAGGATTTGTTGCTATGGAGATTGAAGCCGAAGTCGTACTCGTTTTGCCCGTGGAGCTAGAATATTTGCTGCCACTATTTTTGAAAGCGGAGTTCTGAGTTGAACCGCCCCTAAGCAGCTTTGGTGCAGCTCGGTGATCTGATGTTTTGGGAAATTGGGGTATGACTCGAGCTCACGTCAGCCCCTATCAAATCCTTTTCGCCAATTTTCAGCTGAAATGGAGCTTCCACGCGTACAACGGCGTTTCCAGCCGTCAATGGAGACATTTCGATATTCTCCGTCGTCCCTAGATTTTCTAGTATAGGCGTCAAGGAGATTATTCTGAGTACGAAGAGTTCTCGCCCGGCATGTATTCGTGGGGCGCATTCAGTGCTCCTGTGGGGCCCATGAGCTAATTTCCAACCGGAGAATATACTGCATTGCAGAAAGCCTCGATAATACTCGCCAAGGTATTAAGGTCTCACAAAAACGTTTCAGCAAGAGGTCAAACGGCTAGAGAGCAGGTTGGAGATTCTGTGGAATATTCCAATGAGACTGACAAGGGGAGAAACTGTCCGCAAAGCTTTGCTTTTGCAGCTCCTCGTCCATCAAAAGTGTTGCAACTCGTCTGGCAGGGCATCAAAGCGCCGTCTAACAAAATTTCCGTCAGCCATCTGCTTTTTTGTTTTGCGCAAACCCCTCATTCTGACAATTAATTGTGCGAGTATGAAGTACAGCAGTCGATATTGTCATTTGCGCCGAAATTCCATCTCATCATCACCCTAGCCAAGCGTATACAAAAAGGAACGTCTGTCGTTGCGCTGCTGCGCAGCCACTTCCAAGCTTGACAGCTGCAGTCATCCGTCCCACGGGTCAATCTGAGAAGTGATAGAGATGTACTGTGTTCTTTGGCTGAACATTTCTTTTGTATGACACGACATTGAAAAACCATTCATGTACGATTTTCATGCCTATTCCCTGCCAGTCTCCCAGCACTTGCTGTTGGGACTGCAGGTGCCGACCACAGGACCATGGTCTCTAGATCGCTCTGCTGCGTTGCAGCCCTCTGCAGCATCGTGGCGCTGCAGCAAGTTAGTTCGCACCCGCATGAACATGTGGGATGATTGACTGTTGCAACTCGAGGTGGGATCAACACTTGCTTTTTCCTGCTGGACTGCCAGGCCGACTGACCCTCCAAACAATTTGTGGAGAGCGAGTGCGGAGCGATCCTCGACAGAAAGAGGTTCTATAGCACGCCTCTTAAGTGTTTCAACTTGGGACTGCCGAGGATTGTCTCGAAAGCCCGACGAGTTCACCCGCGTTGCTATGCTGTGCCGCAACCTCATCCCTTAATGAAATCCTACAGAACGAGGTGTGATGGTGGAGAAACGTCGGGATGGAACGGTGGACCATGGAGACTACAGAGACAGGCGGCCCATGGGCTGCGGGTGAGTACAGCCGAGTCGGGGCAGCTGAAAATTTGGGGATTTCCAGGCTTCCAGCGCGACCGGCGGTCTCAAGGACTCGACAGGTCACATCTCCCTTTCCAGAATTCGGTCCGTAAGAAAGTCGAAATTGGAACAGAAGAAAGATCTGGACATGGAGAAAGGTTGATACGAGTTTAGTTTCGTGGGGCCGCCGGCTGTTCATTGGCATCTGGGCCGTCCCGTGGACGTTGCGTTTTGCTTTTTGTGCAGTGCCATGCAGTTCGGTTGTGATTCTTACGAGTTATATGCCGGCGTTGTATCTATCGGGATGTTGTTTTTCTTCCCCCGTATCTGCACTTGCAGCTCGGCTCGACGATGCAAGATGATGCGGGATGCTTGTCTCTGCATCAGGCTGCATTTAAGTTCCGCAAACAAATCCGAATAGGTCACGGTTTGACGATGTGGTTGCGACATTTCGTGCTTGTCGATTCTCAAAGATGAAGCACAGCAGTCAGAGATCGAGAGAAAGTATTCTCAAGTATCAAATCAGCAGTGCACGATTGCCATGTTGTTAGCTTAATTCTTTTCTTTAGGGAGTTCGGGGTGCCGTTGATGTCGATACGTATGAAATCAGAAGACTCGCGCGAGACGACGAGCTTGCGATCCCACCCGCGATAATGAAGAAGCATTCGCTCAGAGAAATTCCTACAGCTGTGCATGATATCCACGTGTGTTGAATTTCTTATTTGCTTCGATATGACAGCTGTTGATGTCGATCGATATAGGTTCGAATCAGGCCAGTACATTCGAGCGAGATGTGCAGGTTGTCAGATGAAGTCTTCTCTTGTCCCATTTCCAGGGGAAGTCGTGCAACTCAATCCCCTCGAGCAAGTATCCTCATGGGTTGTGTGCCGTGTGCTTGTTGGACGAGAATCTAGGGCCTGCTCGCCTCGCCAGGAAGCGGGCTGTTCGGAGTGTTCTGCTTACTCCCGTGCTGATTTTGTAGCCCTAATTCCCAGGTGCGAGCTTGAGAAGGACGTTCGAGTTCAGAAGAAACTGGGAGGGAAACCCCCTCAGGCGAGCTGGCAAGATCCAGCAAAGGAAAGCAAAGAGGGGCAGTTTCGATGTGGTGGTTGTGACTCGCGGCAACATCGCAGCACCATTCCTTCCTGTCCGGGGACATGCAACCAAAAAGAACTCTACTCAGTCACTAGTAGTTTGAATGGATCCCGTCTTGAGCTCGCACTTAGTATTTGGTAGCCACACTGAGAGATCTCTATGATATTACTCAATTCTTGAGTTTGTCCCTGATTACTTCTTGGTACTCTTCGACGAGCTTTTTCGACTGTGATACACACCATCTTCCCAACTGTCCCACCACCCCACCGCCCCCTTCTTCTTGCCCTGTTTGCCAACTATCCAGCAAATCCAACACGTCTCCAACCCCATATCCGAGCTCAAATTGCTGTCATCAACCACACGGTGGACACACCGAGAGTTTCGGAAAAGTCTAGGCATGGAGGAAACAGATAGGAATCAAATCAAACAAACACCGTTCTTCAATGAACGGGATGGGCCAAAGAGCAGTGGAAGTCGCGAGACAGCTGATAGCGAAAGGGTAAAAGGAGGTGTCTTCCAAACGAGTTGGCTTGTTTTTGCCGAGTCACTGACCACACTTCAAAAGTTTAGTCGTTTCCGGGAACTATACTTCCCCTTTACAAGTTTGAGGTTTCTCTGAGGTACCTGTTAATTGTATTCTGGGGTGGTCTCATCTTTCTGTCAGGGTGCATGTCGCATTTGGTGGAGTTGCGTCCATGTACATATCGGCAAACGATTTTGGGGCGGGTGAGGTGGCGTGAATTGCGCAAACTTCTTTTGAGAAAACACGAGATTCTACATAATCTTACAATTCGCAAGGGTACCAAGGAAGAACATAAGAAGTCTTGCTTCATATTGCGTATCGATACTCAGTGTTCTGTTCCGTACCCTCCACATGTTCGACTTTGCCTTCATCCAGCTGCTTATTCCTCCACACCCAAATTTGCCTCATTGCAAGTCCCAACACAATGAATGCAGCCTGAAAACATCCCGTCAAAACCAGCGCAAGTTTGAAAACCGGAGGATCCTGAGACCGGAAAGTGTCCGAAGAAATAATTCCTTCAAGATTCGGGAATGTGTAAATCATTCCCAACGCAGTTGCTCGAGCCGTGTTATTAGGGAAATTGCTGCTTGCCCAAGACGGAACGAGTGCTCCAGAGGTGAAAGTTCCAACTGGAAGAGGTAGGTGAAGAGGTATCTTGCTCCGGAATTCGCATTTGAGTTCACCGTTACTAGGCTGATGAACGCAACGAGTGCAAATACCACTGCACTTGATGAGACGACTCCTGGTTGTTGGTATCTGTCGGAGAGCCAGCACCACGATACTTCTGTGACCGCTCCTGCAAGATTGGCTTTTGGAGTGGAGATCGTTAGTCTTTGGACGATTGTCTGGAAATCATGTTAGTCGGTGCTCCTCATTTTCGGATTGCAGGAGGTCCTTCGGGAAGAAAGTTAGAGCCACTGGCTTATCCCACGCCATACAACAAGCCCATGAGTGTGAACACCCAAGCCTCCCAATTTAGTAAAGCGTGGAGGATTCCTTAAGTCCCACACTAGTGTTTCTTTCTTGGAACCCATTTTCATACCGAATAGTTGAGGTGGTAACTTCCTTTTCGGTGAACCAGCGAGATTTGCCGATATTGCGGGGTAGCCATAGGAATGCGAAGTGAGCAATACCCATGGTCATTGACCCTCAATGATGAAGAGGTACTGCGGACCCTACGAAAAAGTCATTTAGAATCCAACAGTTATCTGGATCAAAATTTGACTTACCCAGAGTGGTTTCCCGGTCCACTGAAGGACGTCCCACGAGATGAGGCCACTGACTGCACTCTTCCAAAAGTGAGTGTTACTTAGGTTCGCTTCCTTGAGAAAAGTGATATCTGCTCATGACAATAAACACAGTAACTCCTCAATCCGACATTCTCAACCCCCACCTCCTTCCTTGTATAAAACCTAGCAAAATGATACTTAATACCAGGCTTGAACCCTGCCTCGGCGGTCCCAATAAAGATCCTAAAATTAATCAAGTCCGAATACCCTTTAGCGAAAGCAGCACCAGTCGTCATGGCCCCCAGATAAACATGAGAACCGGAATGACACTGCTAGGATGGAACTTCTTGGCGAATAGGGAGAGCGGGATGGCGAAGAGTGCGTAGGGGATATAGAAATAAGTTAGGACTAGGGAGTATTGGCCGGATTTGAGGCCGATATCTTTTTCGATGCCGTCTGTTTTGGTATTTCCGAGATTGACGTGGTCGAGCGTGTGCGGGAAGTAGGCCAGGCCTGGATTCTCATGTCAGTGGCCGTGCTGAGAGGTTTGAGGAGAAGGGTATGCATTGACCAATAATTGGGAGGAAGAGAAAATCAAGTTTGCATACGAGTGAACGCTCGGTCTTAGGCCCAATGTGCAAAAGAGGTTCAGGGGTTCTTGGGAGACATTTGAGCCACTCTCTGTGGCGAGGGCATCTGGTTTTTTCTCCTTTTGTTGGAGAGAGGAGACAGCAGGAGTTTTCAAATCGGAATACTTGCTGATGTGCCCTCATAGGTGGTTCAATAAGAAACTTCAAGTGGCTTATAAAGAAGTTTTGAGTTATCCACCATTCAAAGCCGATCACCTCAGGTTTGTTGAAATGTGCGCCACCGTTCCGAGCCCGAGGTCTCCACGTCGTGATGGAGTGTAGTTACACTGAAGATTCGCTGCCATATACCGCGTGCAGATGAGAGCTTTCGCATCACGTCGCAAGTGAGATTTTTTGCATACCATGTAAGCAACAGGTGTTGGATGAGGCATTGTTTCGTACTCCTCTCGAGGTCTTATCCTCTCTTATTACCCTTCATCTCAATGGCTTACAGAAGCCTTAAGATCGGAAGGGAGTTGGACAGCCTTGGAATTGTTTGCCTGCAAGGATACCAGGGTGACCTATAGTGTCAGGATTCAGAATCAGAGAAAACTTCATCAGTAGTTGCACACCAGGAAAAAAGCCCAATCTCGAGGATGATATGGTGCTATTAAGAATATGAATGTCGTGATAAGAAGGTGGGGTTGGAGGGTGGAGGCTTTTGTGGATCCAGTTCCACTTCAACACCAGGGCTCACTTAAGCATCAACATCCAAGCACCAACCCAAAGGGGACATGCAGCAGAACAGAAACAGCAATACATCCGCAGTCACTGGGGCTGTACGAGGATCCAAGGGCAAACCACATCCCACATCTCGAAACGAAACCCTACACTAGATATATAAATCAATAAATAATGTACTCCTACCACTCAAATCTTCTTTTCTCTATCTCATACAGACAAACCCAAACCCAAGTAATACTCCCGCAAAACGCTTGCAAAACGCCAATAATGCATATGCAATTACACCTCTTTCATCCTTTCCCCCTCGATCACCGATCACCTGTCGCCTCTCACCCCTAAATCAAACAATAAAGAGAAGCAAGCCGTCTACCCAACCGCATTCATTACTCATAAAATCCAACAGCCAAGAAATAGCGCTTTCTAATCGTACAACTTCGAACAGAAGTCCAGGAAAGGGGATGAACCAGGTGTTAAGAGGATCCATAGCTCTGACTCAAGCTAGATTTTCCTGGTCCCTGGGCCTTCTTCAATGCGCGAAGTTCGTCTTCTAATCGCCGCCTCTCTGCTTGTTCGACCTGTGAAAAATTAGCAAGAAATTCAAAGGTAGGAAGTAGGGAAGGTAAACACATACCCTCAACGCCTTCGCACTCTCAGCTCTCGTATCTCTCATCATCTTCTTAAACTCGTTTTTCAGCACCGTCGTGCTCGTCGCACCCGGCTGCGCGGCCCCATCTACACCCGGGCTCTTCATGCCCAGCCACCTAACCTTCTCATCACTCAGCTGCGCTTCAAGATTCTCTCTTTCATCTCTGAGCTTATCGATCGTGCTCTCCAGCTGCTCGCGCTCCTTCTCCCACTCAATAGACGCCTTGGTCATCTGTTCGTACTCCTCGATGGTCTCCTCAAGCTCCTTTTTTAGCGTGCGCATCTTCTCGTCGCTAGCACCGCCACTCGGGCCATTCTGCTTCAGAGCCGAGAGCTGAGCGGTGAGAGCGACATTCCGTTCCTTGAGATCGTCGATCTCTTTTTGGATTACTGGGTTGGCTGCTACTTCTGCTGCGCGTTGAGCTCGAGATCCATAGGCGCCGTCAAGCTCGGCTCGAGCGATCGTGACTTCGGTTTGCAAGCGAGCAATCTCCATGTTCGAATTTTCCAGCTCTTGTTCTTTATCCAAGACCTCCCTTTCTTTCTCCTTGATGCCAGCCTCGAATATTGCTTGGGCAGCTGCAGCTGCAGCTAACTCCTGCACCAGGGTGGCAATCTTCCTTTCCGAGTCCGCAATCTTGCCCTGCAGTTCTGCGTTGGCTATCGAGTGGTCGTCTTTCAGATCTTGCAGTTCCTCCTCGAGAGCAGCGATCGTCTGCGCACGCTCATTGAGCTGTTCTTGCGCGGCGCGGATCGCGGCTGATTCGTCTCCTTGTCGCGATTGCTCACGCATTCGTTCTTGTTGTCTAGCGTCGTCAAGCTTCTGCATGACGAGACTGAGTTGCTCTCTGACCGAATCAGCGTCCCTCTCAGTTCTGATAAGCAGAGCCTGAATCCTTTCAACTTCTTCGACCTTCTGGTCAAGTTCAGCATCCTTCGTGGCGTCAGATTTGCTGTTCAGTTCTCGCTGCTGCTTGATCTGTCGTTGAAGGACCTTCTTTTGGTCCTTCAGGCGTGTAGCTTGAGCGTAAAGCCATTGTACCTTCGTAGAGAATCCTTGCAGTGTGAACGGTTCGTTCGGGTCCCCGCCCTCGTCAGGTGACATATCATCTTCGTCTTCAGGAAGATTCTGAGCGGTTCTCGTCTGCCTTCGCTGCTGTTTTCTCTGCCGATTTTCCTCTTCGCCAGATTGAATAATATCCCACAAGCCCATCACGACAGTCTCCATCTGCTCCAAATTGTCTTGATTGCCCATGTTCTTGGCATTAGCAACGGCTCGAGCCAATTCCACCTCGACAGCACCGATAGTATCTTGGAAGAACATCAGTTGCTCATTCAGTCCCTTGCCGGTAAGTTCTGGTGGTTCTGGTTGATTCTCGTCATATGGGAGCAGCAGACCCCTGAGTTCACGATTCAGTGACTCGAGAGTTTCTTCCATAGCGGATTCTGACTCTGCATGCTTCCTCGTAGCCAGACCAAGCTCTTCATCCATTGTCGTGATACTCCGCTCAAGGTATTCCAGATGGCTCTGTAGTGTCTCTTCAGGATTTGACTTGCTTGTAGGAGCGGCATAGCTTGCATCACGCTGAGGATTTGCCTTCACTATGACCTCCCTCAACCGACTGTTCAAAGCTTCCAGCTTCTGCTCCGTGTTCGTGATGATTTGCATCTGCTCCCTGGCCTGAGATTTCGGAGGCGGTCCAATGACACTGTCCCGTTCGACATCTCCAAACCCATCAAGGTTGGCCGCAGATTTATATGCACTTCTCTCGTCGAAGAAAAACTCGTCCCCTATAGGCTCCATGCTGCCCCTAGCATTCGAATATGTATACATGCTTTCTGGACTCCCCGGAATTCCAGGCTGCTGCTGATTTCCTGGCTCCTTGGGCATCTTCTTGGGTCCTTTGTGTGTCATCTGCAATATGCCCGCTGTATGCTTCAACAGTTTGCTCTGGGGTTCCATCAGTCGTTTCTCAAGAGAGAACAGCTCGGCAGCCAGTTCCTCGCACTTCTTCTCACTGGCTATCCGTTCCTGCTCTGCCTCGCGGACCTGATCACTGGGTTGGCGGGTGTGCCCAAGAATACTTCTCCTCGGTTTCTTAGAGTCTGGGCTGTCACCCGTCTTGTATAACTTTGCCATTGAAATCGCGGCATCGCGGTATTTGGACTGGATGGCCAGGTGCTGTCTCGTTTGCTCGATCCGCTGAGTGAGGTATTGGCATTGCTTCTTCAGATCATCCACCTCTTCCTGCGAAAATATCTCGTACTCCTTGCTATCGAACAGAGCAGTCTCGACCAGAAGATGAACTTGAATCGGATCGTTGACATTGAGAAGAGGTGAACTCTGGGGTCGCGTAGGATTCATCTGTAGTATCTCCATCAGTACCATCCCATGTCATCCACCGCTGCTCCCAACGCTATGTTTTGAGGGATGGTCTACTCACTGGATTGAACCGCGATTTCGACGCCTCAAATCCATTCATGATATCTTCACGATATCCCTCTAGGACTACGCGCCCTTTGGGTTCCTGCGGGCCCGCTCGTTGTCCGTTCTGACCTGGTGCGCCATAGGCCTGTGGCTTAACGTTTTCGTCACTCCTGTACCCCTTCTGCGGCATCCCATACTCTCCTTGACCTCCTCTGTATCCCAAGTCTGCACTCGGCCTCGGCGGAAGAGCCTTGCGGCTAGGAGGTGTCCCATTCATGATTGCGCTCCCTCAAATCACCCGTTCGTTATGCTCGTCGCGCGAATTCGTTACCGCATCGGTATGTTGGAAGATGGGAGAAGCGGGTTAGAAGAGAGAAGGCATCTGCAGACTCCGTAGCAGTTTCCTTGCGCTGTCCAGAGGCCGATCTCAATCTTGAGGTCCCTGATCACCTTTGTCCCCCCTCTCGCATGCGATCCCAGTCAACGAGGTGTATGATCGTCTCTCGGCTCTTTCCCCTTCCCTCGAACCCAAACTTTCTTTTTCTGACCGACCCCTTGCCTTCCAGCCACGGGTCACCTTGAAACCTCAGTAAATTTCTCCAGAAGAAAGGTAAGGAGAAATACGCACAGGTGCGTAAAGTTGAGGCGCGAATATATTAGTAAGATGAAGTTCGATAAAAAGTTCGTGCCAACGGGTTTAGTGCAAGGGTTCCATAATTAGCACAGCCACGCGACTATTGGCGATGTTCAGGGGCTGTGCAAGGCGTTATGGGGCGCCACATGACGAGCTTGTAAGAACAAGAACTTCGATGACAATTGTTGTGTTCCGTAAGCTGAAGTACTTGGGGTTTCTCTCGTACTCGTGCATCAGTGTTAATCTCTAGTCATGTGCCGTCAAAAGAGAGACGTCTGCGAAGTAGGGGATGGTCCGCCTTCGGGGTCATATCATGGGTGTCACGGGATCCGAGCACTCTCCATATGTCTCCTCGAATAATGGGTCTCTATTTCTGATCGAGCATTCATTCATATTTCAGTCATATTTCTTATTTCCTGCATTCTCGCAATACATTTCTGGCCTCATATCATCCAGCATGGGTTGATTTAGAGGCTCGAATTTCAAGCTGTTATTGAAGCCACGACACGTACTCTCAAGAAACGTGTAAGGAGCTCGAGGTCCCCAGATGCGGATTCTTACTCTCCTCTAAGCCTGATGAAGTGAAGATGGTCATGGAATACATACAGTAGGCAAAGCAGAAGCCACGAAGCCCTCCAAATGGCTCGGCATTTTAGGCACTTGAACTCCATCTGTCTTCTTCCCCATTCCTACTTCTTCCCATGTGACTAGATATTCGGCGACGCATGGCCTGGAATTTCCTGGTTGCCAAGCTTTTCCATTTGCCTTTTCGCCTTCCCCATTCTCTTCACCTCCACTCTGTCCAGGGCCGTATATCACTCTTGGAGTCGAGGGATGGATGAATATCTTTTTGAGATTTGCTTTCTGCGTACTTGGCTGCCTCCATTGCCTCAATTTCTTTCCTGATTTCCTCTGATTTAGCTTTGGCCAGATCCCACATGCCTTCATGACGATCGCATGGAATTTTGGCGTGCTTGATCAATCACCCAACCGTTGATATCATCGATGTCAGTTTCCTTCCTTGTAAGCGCTTCTAGATGCATGGCATGGAAATTGTCATGGTGTTCGGTCATCCATTCGACCACCCAACCAGAGATTTGAGCAATTGTTATATATGGGAGATATCGCGGGATCACAGACCAGGCGAACAACTCGCCATTGGGACACTGCCGCATCACAGCCATTTGTCCCAATACTGCCGCCATGACCAAGTGACCAGCTTTTTGTAGCTCTGGAAGGACATCAGTCGATCATTAATCTCATTTGCTCCGAACAATGGCGCATCCAATAGAAGATTGTTGATATATTGAGCCCGAACTTCTCGTTTTCTTACAGCCTTTGCAGCTTCCCGTCCATTGATTGGCTCCAGTGGCCCATCCTCAACTGTTGCCGAATTCCCGAGAGCTACCCCGAAGCCGGATTGCCGTAATCTTTCGTGGTTTAGAAGTGCTGCCAAATTGTCTTGTTTGCCGTTCTTGGTTCGGACTGTATAGCTTCTCAAAAACTTTGCCCAGAGAGGATTTGACGAAATGTGGGACGAGAAGTCGGATCCCGGTAGTTCGTCCCGAAAACCTTGCCCAATACTCCTCTGCCCTAACCTGTGATAAACTGCTTACTACCTATAAATTCCATCTCAGCATACGAATTGTTGCATTGTAATACCAGAACCTCACCTACGAAGAGAAAGACAATCACGTTATCGATAACATCTCTCCCTTCCTAGATCTATCGTTGGAGTTCTACTCAAACAACTGCTTAAGTCACCTTGTTCATTCCCGTATATGATTGTGAAATGCTATCATTAAAAGGTATTAAAGGTCATTAGTCATATGATATTTGAATCTTTCACGAATCTTTCACTTCTCGCAAATTTGAAAATTGCCCCGCCTCGTCAATCTATTGGCTTTCTCACTATAAATATAAGGACGAGAATCCCAAATCAGATTCTATACGCCTTGGAAACGCTTTATATACAAAAGCCCACCACCAATAATCACCAAATCAAGTACATGAACCCCCAGACCCGGTCCATGAACGAAAATGGCTTGGAGAATGAGAAATGGCCAGCTGGGGGTTTTTCCATACTAGAGATAATGGAAGTAGGTGAGGGTTTTGTTGAGCGATCACCTGTCATCAGAGTTGAACCATGACCAGTTGGTCCAGTCGAGGTGGACGTGGATGTTCCAGGTGATGTTCCAGTGGAAACCAGAACATTGAGCAGAGAAGAACATGCCGCCGCAGACTTGCTTGGTGTCACAGACAAAGCCTTGCCACCGAAATTGCAAATTGACGGCGTAGAGTTATAATACAGATAATAAGTATTGAAATCGGTCATGGCGCTTATTGAATTTCCCAGCACTGAAACAAGGCCTGGGCTTGGTTAGCAAATGCAAAATAAGCCATTAGATAGGAAAAGGGAATAAATACCACAATCCGCGTCTTGGTCCTTTTGGTCTGCCTCGGAGTACTCATATACAACACCGCCGGAGAAGACCGACTTCATTTGGTCACCATAGAGCGCTTTAACTTCTGTGAAAGGGTAGGCAGCAGCACCCCCCTCCGAGGTACACTGCATTCATATTCAGAAAAGAACAGGAACGGAGTGCGTTGCAAACTCTTCGGTATGTTTGCAATAATTGGAGGTCACCGTGTCTGAAGGCTTGCACAGGAATAGATAGTGTTGCCCCAGAAGTCAACGGTGTTTGTGTCGTCCCCGCAACTGAAGTAGTTGGCCAAGTTGATGTTGATACCCGGTGTCAAAGTCTCATTAAGGTCTTTGTGCGTGTATCCGATTTCCAGGGAGGAACGACATCCTTTGGCCGTGATGTACGCCTTGATATCGCGAACTGCAGCTCTGAGAAGGCAACATCTTTGGTTGACTCTGCACTCTGGGCAACTTCGTTGCCTACAGAGAAGCCAAAAATACTTGAATGCCTCTGCAGAGTGTCTACCAAAGAAGTGTACTGTTGGTATAACTGATTAATAACGCATACACTGACGAGATTTGCTCCAAGTTGTTTTAGGTATGGGATGTCCCGTTTCCATGAATCGCCGTCGGCGAGAGCGTCGACAAGATCGGCGTTTTTAATGCTTGCGCCTGTATCTTTGGGATTCTGTTGGTATGCAACCTTTTTGATGAAGAATTGAAACATACGAGAGGCTTGCTTCGTAGACTTCGTGAATTTTCTCCCTTCGGAATGGGGATTCAGGGGCTGCTCGCTAAAAAGTTTAGCGATGTCTAATCCCCACGGACAATCACTCCTCGGGCTTCACCAAAATCCGATTCATAAGCTTCCGACCTTACTTCATTACAGCAGCCAGGACCTTGGTAAGAAGCAAAGAACGGAAAATAAATAGCCAAACTAAAAGATGATCTTCAATGTTTGGGGAACTATCTTCACCAAGAGTCAAATACTGGAACAAATACGGGACAAATCTGCTGCAATCGTTTTCCGGCACTGCCCCTGCGCGAAATATGATCACTAGTAAGTAAACGTAAAAGTCCGCCTCTGATCTCCGCGCCTCCCATTCTCCCCTCTATCCTCGGCCCTCCTTTGTTCCTCGTCCCACCCCGCAATCTGCTTCGCCCTCCAACGATTCTCATACATATACGCGCCTCTCATTCCCAAGAACCCCAACATCCCTACGCCAATCAATATCATCGTAATTTTAAGGGGATACCCATACGAAGGCGCATACTGCGCTTTGAACAACTGGCCTGCAATAATGCCAGCGATGTTGCTGTATCCATTGATACCGATGATCAAGGAACGTGGTCCAAGTAGTGGGGTGTTGTTGGCGAGCCAGCCGACGATGAGAGGGCCGGCAGAGAAGGCTCCGGCCAGGCAGACGTGTGTAAATCCGTAACGGAGGTGTGGATCGGAGGAGGTGTACATTACGATCAAACCGATGAGCGCGAGGGCCATGCTGGTCACTGTGTGCAGGGAGCGTTCGTGGAAGTGGTCGGAGGAGTAGACGAAGATGAAGAGACCGAAGGCTCCACTGGAGGCAACATTGTAAGTCTTAATTTAAATGGAGGAGAAAAGTGAACTTACACCACGAAAGGTGATACGCTCATCAAGTTTGCCTGAACACCAGAGTATCCCATACCTGTTCCACAAAGTCAGACTCAGATAAAGCCAAGAAAACGGATGTGCTGCATACCTTTAACAATGAGGGGCAAGAAAGTTCCAAAAGCGCTGACAGGTAGCGTAGCCAAAATATTGAAAACAACTGTGAGAAGTTTCTTCCAATCTGTGAGGACGGCTTTAACATCTCGCATGCTGACCATGCGGGTGTCTTTAATGGCGTTGCCATCTTGGTCAACTTCAAAGTTTTTCATTACGTCGATATCCATTCTGTGAAGAGAGTGTTCGCGTTCGGCTTTGCTGAGAACTGAAAAGTAGTCAGTTGATGGCACGAGTCAAGAGGGCAAGGGGGTGGGTCAACTTACACCATGCTGAGGTTTGCTTCAAGGGAAGAGCGAAGAATGTGATAAGGACGGCAAATATTGTGATACCACCCTCTGGGAACAATGTTAGGGTTGATAGGTATTATTGGGGTATTCCAAAACGTACCAATCATAAACTGTATTTGATTGTTAGCAGGGAAATATGTAGGAGCGTGGATTCAAACCTACCAACAACTGCCAACTCTTGTATTTCGATGAATGGATTTTGAAGACGCCGTACTGACATCAATCAGCATTCAATATCACACAACCTAGGATCGAAAGCGCTCACTGCTATGAGACCCGAAAAAGCTCCAGCAATTGAGTACATTCCCCTACTCTGAATCAGTTTCCCCTCATCAAGATAAAAATGACAACTTACGCGAACAGTCCAAGTCGAAATCCCAGATGGTATTTGGGATACCAGGTTGAAAGGTAGAACTTCCATAGAATCAGTGCCAGGTTTTCAATGAGAACGACAAGACACTTACGAAAACACTGGGCACGAATCCAGCTTCAGCAGCTCCAAGCAGGAGACGTAAAGCGATTAGTTTTTCTCTATTATTTATTCCCGCATGAGCCATGCAAAGTGAAACCCATGCCACCATCATGAATGAGATCCAGTATTTGACTCCAACGCGTCTGCCGATGATGGTAGATAACGGCTGTAGCGTGACGAATGTGACTGAAAGCTAGGCAGCGGAAATAAGCATCCAGATGGGGGTTTCCTGCTTGTATGAGGAGCCTACCAAGGACACGGCATTGGAAATATCGTTAGGCTTTAGGTGTGCATCTTTTGCAAAGCCTGGACGAGAAAAAATCAGCTACTGCCATAAGTAAACGGGTTCTGTTCAACTTACTCGTTGTAGCAGCATTCCCGATATTCGTCTTGTCGATACCGCACAACTTGTATTCATCAGTCCGGAACACTTCGAATAATCTAGCGAGTGAGGAAGCCGCCTACCATGAAGTTGAATGCAAGCAACGGAAGTACAATGAAGTCTAATTTCATGTTGATCGACCTATCGAGTGCCGCTTCCTGCGGTGTTCGAGGCACATAGAAGTGTGGGACATTTTGACTTGGCAAATTCTCGACAAGATCAACATCACCGACAGGTTTGTCTACGCTTGTGCGAGACTCGCTAGGATATTTCAAATTCGGTTCAATTGCCATTGCGAGGGATCTGCAAGAGCGTATCGTATGAGATGGAAGATGACATGAAATGAGGTGATAAAAAAGGAAAGGGGAAGGGGAAACGCGAAATATACGACTTGAGCCACTTAGGCCACCCCGTGCGGGGTCCCCGCGGGCGTGCACTCACTTGTCAGAGTGAAATTTTCTGGGGACCGGGCTCTCCACTGTGGACCACGCTTGGCGAAGTAAATTCCGGGTTGGACCCTATAAGATGGTCGAGATTAAGTTCCCCGAATAAGAGGCTGGAAGCGCGAAGGTGGGACAGCGGAAGGGCGGAAGAGCGGAAGAGCGGAAGAGCGGAAGAGCGGAAGAGCGGATGAACGGAAAGCGGAACAACACTCCAGCTTGAGATCGGTCTCTGTTCTCGCTGCATATGAGAACGTGAATACCGTAAGAAGACCCGGTTTCCAGTTAACATCTTGAGAAGATCCCATTCCAAGCCTCGACTTTTCTCGGCAAGTAGCAACGACATTTATCTCTGCGCCCCCCCCCCCCCCCCCCCCCCCCCTGGCCTTGTACAGTCTTTATTCTGGCATATACCTCGATCTCTTTCTTCAGTGACTTCCATAGACTGGAAATCTGACTTAAAACAAAACCACTCTATTCATCGTATTCGAGAAAATGGCAGAAGTCCTTGCCCCTTCCAGCCAAAAGCCCAATGATTTCGATCCCCTTGAAAGCAATGATCCCGGACACATCTACGCTAAATACGACAAGTTAAGAACCATGTGCCCTGTTGCCTTCACAGACAGATACAATGGTTACTGGCTCCTCAGCCGACTCGAAGATGTAAAAAGTGTTGCTCTCGACGGGACTACATACATTTCATCAGTGAAAGCAGTCGTACCCAGCGACCCACGAGGCATTCGTCGACCTCCACTGAATTTTGATGCGCCAGCACATACACCCTATCGAACGGCACTGGATAGGACACTCAAGCCCACAAGACTAAAGCGTCTGGAGAAAACTCTCGAGGCGCATGCGGAGAAGGAATTGGCCCCAATGCTTGAAGCAGGAGGAGGGGACATATGTATGGAATATGGAGCGAGGTTTCCAGCTTGGGTTTAGACTGAGTGGCTGAACTTGGACTCGAGTTACACTGAAGGATTGGCAGCTAGTGCCGCTGGGTGGATAAAGGCATGGAGAGCACAAGACGGCGATGCAACAACGGAGTTCTCGACAAAGCTGTATAGGACTGCCGAGACATTACTTGAAAGTCGAAGGCAACATCCTCGATGTCCAGAAGACGATCCAGCTTCGTCGTTGCTACTTGAAAAGGATGCCGATGGAAATTTCTTGGATAATAGCCAGCTTATGTGAGTCTACATTGTAACGACCGAGCAATCTTGCTAACAAGATCTAGAGTCTGCCTCCGCCAATCTCTCGTTGTTGGAATGGTCGCTCCACCCCTCTTGATCGGAGCAATATGCAACCACCTGTCGAAAGACCAAGAGCTTCAAACACAATTGAGATCGGACCTCAGCTTGATTCCTGCCGCAACGGAGGAGTTCATACGCCTCTACACCCCATATCGAGGCTTCTCTCGCACAGCATCCAGAACGGTTTCTTTGCATGGCAGAGAGATCAACCCAGGAGAACCAATTACCCTTTCTTACGCGGCTGCCAACCGCGACCCTTTGGTATTTCCAGACCCTGATAAGTTCATCTTGAACAGAGAAAATCTCACCTCTCATCTCGGTTTTGGAAGAGGGAGGCATCGGTGTGCAGGAATGCCGTTGGCGAGGATGTAAGTTGCACACATAGCCCATATTCCTCTCCTGGAATTAGATTTTGTGGAGCTGACATGCATTACTCGGGATTGCAGGATGATACAAGTTGCGTTGCGAGTGTTGCTTAAGAAGTCCAAAGGGTTCGAAGTGAACGGATCGCTGGAGTACGCCAGGATGCCTGAGATGGGGATAATCAGTTGTCCATTGAGCATTAAACCATAGAATTTATACTTACGATTTGCCCATTCCTCGCCCATTCAGAACCCTATACAGTAGATAGTGGCAAAGATGTCATATCCCCTCAATTATGTTCCCAGTCCCAAAGTGAAGCGTCGTTGTTTTGTCCAGCGAAATTGAAGTTAGAGAAAACGTTCCCGGCAACATTCCACCCTTCTAATGCCCCAAACATCATCTCATCAGATCGTGCCTCGAAGTGACCAATCGGGTTATGGTTCACAAGGTTGGCCAGTACATCATCTCTTGAAAGGATAGAATTCTGGGGCGGTTGAAATTGTGCCGTTGCTTGAAGTGAACAGGCAATATTTCCTCCAATCTCAGCCGTGCCTGCCCCTTGACATTCCATTGGATTTTCCTTGTTGATATTCGAGTTGACATCCCGAGCTGGTAGTCCTTCTGTCTGGGTACTCTGATGATTGATATGGGATTGCCCCATAACCTCGAGGATATCTCGGAGTAAATCCGCATAGCGAATTGCTACGACCATCTGGTCCATGGACCGCAATATTTCGAGTGATCTATTGACATCTTCAATAAGATCAGCCTTCACACATCCTGCTGTTAATAGAATAGATGGACTATCAAGCAAGATCACTGTAAGAGAACGGTGCTCGCATAGAGAATATATGTTGCGTTGTACCACCAGCTCCGGACGTAATGCCGATGAGTAAAAGCAGAGTGGAGGATCTTGATTGTCGCGCTTGCTTCCAACAAGCAGATGGAAACAGAGTGATCAAAGTCAACGGTAGCTGACGGCAATGACAGGAACGGGCGATAGATGAATGCTCTGATGTGATGAAAGCCTATTAAGGTTAGGATACTTTAGCTGCAATTTTGAAAACTCAATCGAATCTTACCTATTTGCAGTGCAAGCTTCTGTTTGCTCATCCACTCGGGCTCCTTGAAAGAGACAACGTCGGGGTTAAGCCAACGAGGGAGCGTTGCATTCCAGACTGTCAACTCCTCGTCGAGCTGTCGTGCGGACTGAGATATTTGTTCATAGTTCGCTTCTAAGGAGTAAATATTCCGAGATGCCGACCGATGTATTGCGGATAGGGAAACCTGTGCAGGTATTATAGACGTTTGTGAAGGTTTACAGCTTGAAGAGTTGGTGGTTGAGGGGAAGACCTGAGCTCTGGTGAGAACCTTGACTGAAATATTGGGAATACTTACAGCTGATAGAGGAGTTGGAAGGCGATATTTAGATGGAGCACTCATACTACTTTCTCGACCGGAGGAACAAGTTATCTTGCTGGGAAAAACTGATCAGCGAACAATTCTAATTGTGTTGGGTTGCAAGAGTAGTCAGTCACATTTCGTGGCAGTAGATGCACCTGTGAACATCCATTATTAGCTGCGAGGTTCAAGAATTTGATTGACAGCTTAAGACTGAGTTGTGGAACATGGGGGGGAAATTGTTGGGTGACAACTTACCACCATGTCCTAGCAGATGCAACTTGGGATTCTTCGGGCTGTGAGCGGTTTGTTGATGTGATTCCTATAGCAAAAGCTGTCCTGACCGCCATCCCACTATACATATAGCTGGCATGTGGTCGCAAAGCATGATGACACCATATGGACTGAAGAGAATATTTAGCAATTGTCCGGAATCGGGAGCTTCGATTGGGGATTAACTTACAAGTAGAAGAAGTGCTTGCGCGCCTTCTAAGGAGCAGATTTCGAACACATCTCCAAGCAACCTCCGGGCACGTTGAAAATAAAGCTTCGAAAGTCGAATGGAAGATGGTACCACCTTTCGGCTGTGTAGAGAGTGATTTTCCTCCCATGGTGCACCGAGTTCGGAACGGCTGCTTTCGAGTGCGTCTGTGGGAGCGGCCAATGCCCCGACCGCAAGCACTGCATTATAGAGTGCCAAAAAATGCATCTGGTTGCGCCGAAGTCGTTTCAACGCGCTAGCAGCCCATATCTCACGCCCACATCTTTCCTTGAATATCCCAGTATCTAGGAAGGGAGAGATGTAGTGTAAGTTGTTAAAGTATATATTTACATACTCTATCTCCAATAACATGGGATTCCCGAAGAAACAATCAGAGGAGTTTTGGACTGCAACTTGGACGTCAATAGACCGTGGCTGAGCCCCTGGTGTTTCCGGGTCATGGTGCGCGTTTGGTTCATGTGGAGACGCAGTTTGAATGGTTGCCGGTGTCACAGGGGCAGAACTGGGCTGCTTCTGAGCTCTGCCTGCAACGGTAACTGGAGATGATGGCCTCGGATCAGGCAGAGTGGCAGTTTCATCGCAAAGAAGATTGACAACCGAAAGAGGGGTATGTGGTGGATCTATCGATGCGAGATTCTGTGTCAAGCCTGGAGTTTCGGCAGCTGTAGACTGCGAACGAACAGTACTCAGATTCGAGGAACCGGCAGATGGGTCCGGCAGAAATCCAGGGCTGACAGTGTGGTGGTCCGTGGAAGCTGGTTTAGAAGGATCCGCTGCAATCAGTTGACGAGCCTTTGATAGGAGTTTATTCAAAGATATGAAGTTTGAAGAGGGTCCGTAGAACTCTGTACCACTCGTCTGGTGGTTGACTGCAAGCATCGTCTCGTTCTCGAATTCCCTCCAGAGGGGATAGTCACCACTTGACGGAAAAGCATCTTGAAAGGAAACAGGCCGTTCCTGATGCTGATATTGAGACGGTATGCCAGGTAATTGGAAATACTCATCTTCGAGTGCTCGCTCACGCACGACAGGCGAGACTCGGAGAGGCGGGGGTCTCGAAGTCTTGTCCAGAAGAAACGAGTTACCTGTATCGGATCCTCTCATAAACTTTTGGGAGGAACTCTCGCTATAAATACATGGGACTTCACGATCTAAGAGTCGATTAACTCTGGACAGTTTAAATGCTGGAGTGCTGGAAAGAATTACCTTTACAAACCTGGCACGGCCTGCCTTGGTCACACTAGAAGTCGTTAGTGCTGCGGAAGCGGGGGCTGTTTTAATAGTAAACCACCTTAGCTTTTTTACTCGGCATAGCTCACAGGCCCGAGAGGCTCTGGGATGATACTTTCTCTTGAGCGGCGGGCGCTCATTAGATGAGCTCGGAGGGCCAGAGCTATGTCCTTGGTTCGAATGCGGTCGCGGACCTGACGGCTGTGCCTCCCCCCCGTTGTGAAGCTCATAGCCACCCATAGTGTGTCATCTCAAAAATCTCAAGCACCTTGTTGTTGATGTGTGGTCAATATATTGTTAAGAATTGATGAAAGGGATGAAGTTGCCGCTGCCGAGGCTTTTGTGTCAGTACAGCCGAAACTGTTTTTAATCGTGCGTCAAGACTTTCACTAAAGCCCCTAAGTCCCTGCGGGTCTAGTGCGTATTAGTTATACGGTCAAAAGTCAGCGATACGGTCACTTTTTATTCCCTAACAAAAAAAATCTAGAATTTTTGATAACTCCACAACGTAATACAAGATCTGAAAAGAAAAAGTTTAGATAGAGGTACGCCCAATAATTAAGCAATTTTGGCTTCTCTCAACTTTTTAATTTTGTGGAAGTTGTTACCAAGAATGACCGTATCGCTGTGACTGCGCCGTATCGCTGATACGCACCAAACCCGCAGGGATGTAGGGGCTTTGGTGCAAGTCCTGAGGCACAATTAGCGCCTCTCGCTTAAATTATGGTGGGGACCCCCTATGCGTTACTTTGGCGGGGTAGGTGCGGGATACTATGACCTGATCATGCTGATGTACACTTCACTGAAAAAGTAAAGCATCGTTCAAGGGACAAGTTTCTGCTTGCCATTTATCACTTGCATGTTGAGAGGTCAATTTTGAGGTTCAGCAAAAGAGCATATAATTGATGTAACCTATAAGGTTTGGGGTGCCCAAAATCAGAGTTTTATCCTTTGCGCCGTCACGTGCAAACCAGCCATTTCAGCATTGCAGACGTCTCGACTCATTCTCATGTCATGTATAGTACTTCTAATAGCCCGTACTAGATTACGAGAACACTTCAAAAGGACAAAATAAGTAATTTTTTACTTTGAAAGAATGTCAAGAAATTAGAAACGGAATACATAATTCACTATCCGTAGTTCAATAATGAAGCCTGCGACTACTGTGAAGGGGCACCATTTTGAAGTGCTCTGATGGACAGAAAGGAGCTGCTCGTCGAGAGCTGGAGGATGTACCGTATCACATTTCCCTGCGATATTGCTTTGAGTATTATGATGTTGCAAAGGTGCCTTCCCAACTCACCTTCATGCATACTCCATGTTTGCTATTATCCAGTACCTTTCGGGGAACTCAGGGGTACCAAAATAAGTTTGTGAGGATGAGTAAGCAAGGGCTGCACTGAACTTTCTCACTCCCTGTTGATAATCAAACCCTTCTTCTCTCCACCCATTAGCCTTTGATATTCCTCGCAGCTTGCGCTTTCCTCCACCACTTGATATAGCTTCTGCTTCATCATTCTGTTCTAAACATATTTGGATTAGACATTGCCAAGCGCATCTGAATCACTCTGCGAGCACTGTCTAAAAGCCCACTTTCAATAACGAGTGGCTCGAGAGTTTCGGGGTTTCAATTAATGTTGTGAACGCATGATTACACATGTAGCTCTTGATGTTGCCAATTTCAAGATTTCTCCAGCTGGCTTGCGTGCACCCCAACCTACCAAGAAGCACAGCCGTACAGTCTCTGGCTGCCTCACCTGTGTGTTGTCCCTTTCACTCCTCCCTTTCCAACAGCGCTTTAGCTCTTCGACCAGACGCATGCTAAGCTTATGATGGGTGTAAGAAGAAGAAATGTAGTGAGGAAAAGCTTGTATGTTGTAGATGCCGTCGGAATCTCTCAGCAGAGCCTTGTGTATGGGATACCCCGGAATCTTCGCGGCCGAGAGCTCATCAGGTGCTCCGAAACACCTTCTGCAAGTTTGGAAGTTGTCATATCTTCACAGACGTCTGAAAAGTATGACAGTCTTTCTCCGAGGATATTGATGTTGTACCTCGATGTCCCATGAGCTTCGATTTGATGAAGTCTCTGTTGAAGAAATTTCGGACACTTCTTCTCTTTCATACATCAAATCAGATGTTGCGCTTTTGACACCTTCGATACTATGCGTTTTCGATTCACCACCACTGATACATGCTTACGCAGCGTGTGGTACAGCATTACTTTCAAAGCCCGGATTCCGTGGGAGCAGGTGGCTATGAATAACTACAGTAAGGCAGTCAATTCAGTCCGTGATGCTTTGCGCGACTGCGAGCATTACTGAAGAGATGAATGGCTACTGGTAACTGTGAATGCTCGGCATATTTTTGAGGTGAGTAGCTTGGCGGAAATGCATTCTAGATCATGTCTCTAACATGCCACCCCCAGACAATACGCCAGGATGTCGATCTTAGAATCGCTTGCACCTTGATGGGTCTAGATGGTTTATAAAAGGAGTTTATATAATCAGATGCCACGAAATCGGTTTTACAAAGACCTCTTAGAAGAATACATCTTTCAATTCGCCATTGCTAGCCCCTTTACCTCCATTCAGGATGCAGATGAGACAAGGTGTGAAGATCTTTAGGTCCTGATCCAAGCCCTTATTTGAGATTGTCAAGAAACCAATTTTTGGAAGGATTGGAGAGAGTCTTCTTTGGTAGGAGTTTCTCACGATTTTTTCAACGACATATTCGAGCTCTCCTATCTCCGGCGGAAAGCCCCCCTGCAAGGCGGCGATCTCATCGAAGCTGCCATTATCTTGAGAAAATTGCAGGTTTCGAAGTCCTTGGCTATGGCAATTTCGAACGGGTTCGACCACCTTGAAATTTCCGCTCCACCTTGGAAGATGATCGCCATGGCGAGGCTGTACAGTATCAGGCTTAATCTGAGTCAACAAATCACAGACTTGTCTTCATCTACCGGCAACCCTCGCTGCGACGATGGTGATCACCCATGCAATGAGCATCACGCACCTGCTTCCCAGGGAATTCGTAATCTGGCCATAGAAGAGGTCCGAAATCGCGCTTCCAGCCCAAACGCATGAAAAGTTGAGAGCGAGGGTGGCGGTGTTGAGGTGGAAATAATCGGCATAAGATGCCGAGATGTTTAGTCCTTTCATTATGGAGCTGTCGCATCCTCCAGTAGTTGAAGTGATGCTTGCACAAAGAATCAGCAGAATCAAGATACCCTTGGAGCTCTTTGACACCATGTTGTCGATGTATTTGCGGAGACCAATATCTGCCATTTCGACGTTTCTGGAGAAAGTATCGTTCAAAGATGACGGAACAGGAGGATCACCATCGCCGACTAGCGCGAGGACGGAGAGCCAGAGCCTCGGGTGCTTTTATGTAGCAACCCCATTATAGTAAAAGGGTATCTAAACCAGAGGATGCGATATCCAACCCACTATACCCGGAGAAGGAGACAAAAGAGGCGGTATCATACCTCCAGGCGAGATAAAGGTTCAAAGATGGGAAGTACAAACAAATCAGATAAAGGTCGTGAGCCTCCGAGCAACATGACTGTTTCCCTAGTCAAAGAGAAGATTATCCAATGGTAGGAAGGGAGGCACCTGCGAAATAGCGGCGCCAAGTATCCTGCTTCTGAGAAGGGCGGCTGTCCAATCTTGGTTAGATCCACGAGCTGTCCGAAGTTCCAAACATGTGGCGAAGGAGTTGAAGGGCGCGTTCGTGTACTTGCGGTCCGATGTATCATCCTATACTACAGGAGCAGACATTGCTGTTGGTGGCGGATACTGCGTGCGATGGTGACATGTGTATTTTGTGCCAGTGTGGTTGGATAAATTCCCCCACTGAGGTTGCAACGCTTTCAAAATGCTTGCTCAGCTCCACTTTAGAGTGATTATGAGGGGAAAGCGCTAGGAAGCGTCATTTCTGACAAGGAGAGTGGCTTGTCAAAATTTTCTAAAAAAAATTCATTTTTTCATTTATTTTTCCACCCTCATCCCATAATAATTCCTTGCGGTAGCAAATCTGGTGCTTCCAGTCCCAGTTCACGTGATCCGCCCCCCCTTTCGAGTGTATTCTGGTAATCTCATTAAATCTAAACCTCCCTTCCTTCCAACGCGGTTAGTCTCCATCGCCGCTCTGCTCAGGCGCTACTCACCCTCGTCTCACCTCTACTCAGGTTGTTCAGTCACGTTCCTGCTCTCCCCTCTAATGACCAATCATAATTTGCTTACTATTCAGCTGCGAAAACTATCAACTCTATATGCCTATGTTCTGTGGGACCAAGTCGGCTCCTGAGGAGCCCAAACAGGACCCATCCAAAATACTCCCTTCAAATCCAAGGCGGATTTTCTCGCAATATAGCATTGTCTCGCACTACCTCCTAAATATTTCCTCTTTCGTGTTAGTCAAGTCTTCCCTTAGCGTCCTAGAAAAGTTTTCTGCTACTATGGTACAAAATGCCGCACCGAGCCAGCCCTATGCTGGAAGTCTATCTCGAAGGAGGTCAAGGCGTTTGACCTAATAACGATATCATCCGCCGTCATCACGCGACCTGTGTTGCCTGCCCTTGAGTATGCCATCTGAACGATGTTCTTAATCTGTCGTCCATTGATCTCCTGGTTTGTAATTTCTCGGAGAAAATCCTCGCTGAACTATTTATATTTGCTCTCCGCGGTACCGTTCAAGACGAATGTTTTCCAGAGCTCAAGGCAAGAGTCGGAATCTAAGGGCGAGTATGTGAGCATTACTTTAACCTCCCACCATCTCCCATATTTCGGTACAAGAAGAGCGGAGATTTCACTTTTCACTGTCTGACCAGTGCCAGCGCTCTCGTGAAAAGGGACGATATCCCCTTCACGCAAAACTCGACCAGAATGCCCACCGAGCTTTCCGAGAGCAAAAGTCGAACGGCTACCAAGTACTGGCGATACAGTAATTCCGCCTTTGACCGATATATATGCTCTACAGCCAGTGTTGAGTCCCCCAAGCTTCAATAGCTGACCTGCATGCACGTGGAGAGGTTTGAAAAGAGGGATAGGCGTCCTATCTATTTCAAGGCTGAGCTGCCCACCTACAACTGCCACATAAGCGTCTTGGTGGAAAATTATCGTAGGTCTAGCGTGGGTACACTCCAAGCACGCTGCTCCAAGGCCATTTCCCAGCAGACAATTGGCGAGTCGAAATGAATAGTCATCCATAGGTCCAATGGAGGGATTCCAGCATGCCACAACCCTTGACGACCTGGGAAATCCTAGATGGTGGTCGAGGGCCCTGGATCTAAGACTTCGAATGCATCGGCTTGGAACTTGACGGTATCGAGTGTTGTCGTTGTGTACGTTCCATTTTGGAAATCGCTGCTCGAAACTATTTGCTTGAGGTAATCTAGGTTCGTTTCGATGCCAGAAAAAACATTGTTTTGGAGAGTAGCGGCTAGCTTCCTGATGGCTTCTGGACGGTCCTTGCCGCATACGATGACCTTTGCCAACAAAGGATTATATAGAGAGGAGATAATGGTACCAGCTTCGATCCACGTATCAACTCGTACATTCTCAGGAAACGACACCTCTAAGAGTTGCCCTGGTGAGGGTTCAAAATCCTGTAACGGTGACTCGCCATAGATTCGAGCTTCAACAAGACGAAGCGCCGGCGCCAATCCTGATTATTGCCTCTACGAGTTCTAGCCCAGTAATGATTTCGGTGACGGCATGCTCTACTTGTAGCTGCGTATTCACCTCCATAAAATAGAAAGCCTCGGTTCCGATATCATATAAGAATTCAACGGTGCCAACACCTCTATACGAGACGGAAGAAGCAAGCTCGATGGCTGCGCGGCGCATACTCCCACGAATCTTTTCCGGCACGAATATAGCAGGACACTCTTCAATAACTTTCTGCTTCCGCCGCTGGAGCGAGCAGTCCCGCTCACCGAGATGTTTCACCAACCCGTCCCCATCACCAACAATCTGAACTTCAACATGTCTCGCGTTTTCCACGAACTTCTCGATAAAGACTCTTTTATCTTTGAAGATTGAAACCGCCAGATATCTAATAGAATCAAAAGCTTCTCTCAGCTCCAGAGGAGTTGCACATTTCTTCACTCCGATTCCCCTCCACCAGCGCTACTCTTCACAATAACCGGATACCCAATCACCTCAGCCTCATCAAGTACTTGATTAACATCCCCAAGCAATCCCGTGCCCGGCAACAACGGCACTCAAGCATCTTTGGCGCGTTCTCTCGCCAAATGCTTGAGCCCTAGACTCCTCATCTGCAGCGGCGTAGGTCTCAACCAAACAATTCCACTCCCCTCACATGCCTCCGCAAACTCAGCGCTCTCGGACAGGAATTCATAGCCGGGTATAACTACTTCTGCGCCCGATGCCTTGGCGATGGCGATGATGGCGGTGATGGCGGTAATGGAAAGGTAGGTGCTTTCGACGGTGTCGCCGGCGAGCAGGTGTGCTTGGTCTGCAGCGTGTACGTGGGGGCAGTTACGGTCTGAGCGGGCGTAGATGGCGATTGATAATTTGATGGCCTTGAAGTTTTCCGTTATAATTATCTTTCAAGGGTGAGCTCTAAACGTGTCAAGTTAGAGAGGTGTGTGAGGAATGGGTATGGCAGTAAATTGAAAGCAAATATAGAAGCTTTTTTAATTGCAGATTGAATCATAGCAACTAATTTCGTTCTTACAAGCATTAAAAAGGAATCAAAATTCCGAAGAACGACAAAACATTATTAACAGACCCAGATGTCGTGCGGTCTTTCACTTAATTACCTTTATCCATGCATTTCTTCTATGCACCTTCATCACCAGAGAAGTCGGAAGTAAGAGGGCACGCTTTTACCACTAGACCTTTAATCCCAGGTTGCATCTTCAAAATAGTGTTTAAGGAGATCAGCAACCGTAACGTGCCCCTCCCTCTCAGCAAGTCTTTCGGCTCTCCGGTATCTTTTGCTTCCTGGCAGATGTGTATCTGCACCCTCATTGATAAGAAGTTGCACCATGTCGAGTCGTCCTTCTCTTGCTGCAAGGTCTATTGCAGATGTCTCTTCTTCATCATAAGGAAAGTTGTGACTTGCTCCATTGACATCTGCGCCATGATGAATCAATAGATACGCCATTTCAAGATGGCCATCCTTTGCTGCAATCTGTATCGCTGTCCCTCCGTATGTAGCGTCGGGCGAGACTGCATTGATCTCAGCTCCAAGATTGATTAAACGACGAACCAAAGGCAGAAAGTTCCCATGAACTGCCCATTGGAGTGCTGTCATGCCCATGCCATCATAAGACGGTGGAGCGTTGATATCCGCCTTTCTCTCCAACAGTAAATTCACAACTGCCAAGCTGACTTCGGGTTGAGCATCATATTTGAAGAAGCCACGAATTGCCTCCTGGAGAGCCGAGCTTTTGACATCGGCCCCATAACTTAGCAACAGCTTCACCAAGTCAAAGTTCCCCATAAAAGCTGCAGCTTCAAGAGGTTGAAGAACACTTAAACATTGCGTGTTGTTCACATCGGCCCCTGCCTTCAATAGCATTTCGGCAACTTCAAACGTCTCAGGCCATCCCTCCTTAGGTTCATCAGACGTAATTAACTGGAGTGGCGTAGCCTGATTGGATGAATCCAGGCCATGTCCGGATGCACCCGGAAAAGCCCCTCTGCTCAACAGGATCTCAATCAATTTGGGCGTAACAAGCCCTTTGACATGTTTGATTCCTTGGTAGAAAGAATTACGCCTGCCAATCCATTGGCTAATTACAAAATGCAACAATGACTGATATTCAAAAGATTCTTCCCATAAGCTGGCATTAAGATCTGCATCGAGGTCCAACATCGTCATTGCGATATCCGGCACTGCGCTTCTGACCCATCCTCCGTGGGCAATGGCATAACCAAGCGGAGTGATACAAATCAACTCAGCCGTAATGCCTAAAATCCCATCCGAAGCTGGAGTAAATTGAAGTTGGTTTTTGAGTTTCAAAAAGTCCACTTTGATTCTTTGGTTGATGTCTATTCCGGCTTGAGCAAGGGAAATAAGAGCGTTATTGTTTCCAGAGTCTATGGCGGCGCTAAGAATTTTGGACCTGTAGTCGGACGGCTCTGTGAAATCTATCCCATATTCGAGTAGAGAGCTGAAACGTGTGGAATCACCGGTTGATATTGCCCGAAGAAGCTGGCCTCGCTCCTGGGTTTTCTTGTCTCGTGAAACCCCGAATTGAACCAAGATTTCTACAATCCTTGAAGTGTCAGGGAAAGCCTCGGCGATTTCAATTATTGAAAAGCCAAAAGAATCCACAACTAACAAATCAGGATCTGCCCCGTTTTCTAGTAGCATTTGAACAAGCATAGCATCGCCTCGCCTGACTGCTGCCATCAGGCACGTAACGTGCGGCTCGGACTCATGATTACCGAAAGCATCAACCTGAGCGCCTCTGGCAAGTAAGATTTTGACAACCTCGGCGTGACCTGCCTCAACAGCGGCAGATAGCGCCGTCTTACCCCCAGGGCACGCTGTTGAATTGACATCCGCTCCCAAATCAAGTAGAAGCTCCACTAGTGGTACATGCCCAACATTCGACGCAGTTTGAAGTGGCGTTGCGGACCAATTTGTATTTGTAACACCAAATGGTTCAAATTTAAACCTTCGGCTTGGAGCGTCAATGTTTGCACCACCTTTCACCAAAATTGTGACCAAATCAAGTCCATTTGCACCTGCATCTTGATGCTCAGACCACGTTTCACAATGCCTCAATACTCGATGGACAGCTGCTTGGAGTGGTGTGAGGCCAAACTCGTGTTGCCCGAATTTGCCAACCTCAGTTGCCGCGATGTTGACATCTGCATTGTTCTGAATCAAAGATTGGACAACGGAACTTCTACCATAGTAAGTTGCCCAAAAGCTCGCGGTTGCGTGGTGAGAGACGCCTCCACAGAAGTTTTGATGCAGCGTATTCACGTCCGCCCCAGCATCCATCAGAAGTTGAACAACTTCGGGACTCTCAGCATTCCAAAGTGGTAGGTTAGGGTCGCCCTCCCATTTGGCCGTTTCAAGGAACCGGCGAACAAGCTCAACATCGTCAATATGCAGGGCGCGTAGGAAAAGTGCCTGAAATGATGATGCAGGACCCCACTCGTTGAAATACTTTTCAAATTTCATCGGGTTCGTCTTGGAGCCACGTAGTTCATGAAGGAGAGTGGATTTCTTCGTGAGCAGAGTCCAAGCAAGCTCCATCTTGCCTTTTATAAGTGAGTAGAAAAACATCCTTTCTATGCAGGCTTTTGCTGTAGACGTATTCGATGATACTAACGCATCCAACATTGCCGATGGCAGGTTGTCCATGATCCAGTCAAAGAAATTATACTCTGTTCTGTCAACGCTCCCTGCAATACTTAGATCACCATTGTTTGACGACAAGTACATGAAAAGTTTCAATAAGAGGTTGACAGGATCTGGTTCAGAAGACCTCGGTTGCAGGTCTAAATGCGTCTGTAGGCTATCTGGATCATCTTCCGGGGAAGCCGGCAGCGGAGCAAATTCCCGGAGGGTAGCCGGAAGCAAGGTCAACGGCTCGTGGTAAGTACGGTTGGATGGTTGCTCCTTTACCATCAAGCTGGAAGCCGGTGGATCTATCGGAGATAAAGTTTCTGACGGCCACCAGTCACTGGCATCTTCGAAGACTCCTAAGCCAAAAGAAGGTTCGGATAAATTCGATTTCTCGAGGGCGATAACAGGCAATTGGCGAACAAATTCCGTAAAATCAAAGCCAAACTGAGCCGATTTGGCTAGCAGAAAAGGTTATATTAGTTTTATGCGATACCCTTACAGCAAGGGAGAGTAAAAAGCACCCACAACTCATTCCGAACATATTTCGGAAGCTCATCCATGGGAAGTTATCGGTTCTTAGTTTTTCCAACGACGCCTCTGGAGGTGTGCAGACAAATAGCCCTTCTGGACATTCTGAGAGCGATGGCGCTTCAAAGGTGCGGTACCAGTTAGCTGACCTCGATCAATAAAATTTACTTTGGCTCACTTACTTGGCATATGTTGTTCCGTGAGCTTGACATGTCGTTGAAACTCTTTCTTGACCGTCTTCTCCGGTTTCAAAACGTTGTTGAGATATATCAAACTATTCTTCCCCGCCTCTTTTCGAGTCCGACTTTTGAAATACGCGTATCGCCAGTGACGCTCATTACTGTTTTTCCGAAAGCCCCAGCGTTTAAACTGGGCTTCATACTGCGCTTTACTACAAAGTTTTCAGCATAATAGTCATCGCCTCATTTTGAGATATCAGGGTACTGGTTTGGCGTACGAGGCTTCGAAGCCGTGCTTCTTTCGCATGATGTCCATGACGGCTGGTAGGCCTTTGTTCTCTTTGAGGTAGAGCCTCTCGATTTCTGCCCTGTGAGGTACCCAGTCCTGCGAAGAGAATTCTCCACGCTTACTTTTCACGGATGAAGTGGACGCCGCCATGCTGTCGCTTTTTGTGGAAAAGGGTGATATGTCCGATGGAAAGGGAATAATGTACTGTTTGTTTACTCTTCTTGGTGTGCTTCTGAAGAGAGCAGAGGAAAGCAGCAGAATTTGAGGCTGTGTTGTGCAATATTATATCGTGTAAAGTGGGGTACGCTTATTCTAGGCACAGTTTAGTAAGGCACTTATAGCACTAACCGGAGCAACTCGGCCCGGCTAATTTCGCTTCATCACGTGGCGTATTAGACCAGCCAATTAGAAGTATCCACTAGCCAACCGCCCACCCCAAAAAAAATCGATTTTTAATTATACCTTCATTATAATTACAAATTCTATTACATATTAATATATTATAGTATTCTCGACATCCTAATAACTATATATTCATTTTAATCTTGTAATGTAGCTAGAATTGCCCGTAAGGTAATGTTTTTTTATTTTTAGTATATATTATATTATACTTATTAAAAATTATTAGAAATAGTAGTATCTTATTTTATATATATTACTTTACTAAAATCGAGGTTTCTTTTTTATAAACTATTATTACACTCGTATATATATAACTTATAAATTATTAGTAGTTATTTTTATATTTCTAATTTTAAAATATATTATTAAATTATTACTTTTTCTTTTAATAATAATAATAATATTATTATAACTATTAGTATAGCTATTCCTTCGGGAGTCACGTGTGTAGTCACGGGACTCGGGACACGGAATATAAGTAATAAGATATAAGAAACGAAATATAATTATATAACTTTATTTTTTATATATAACTTAATTAATAGCTAGTTCTTATTAGGCTTAGTAGATTTAAGAATTATATATTAATATTATAATACTATAATTCTTATTTCTAAATATTAATTACTTTATTAACTTAATATATTAAGTATTTTATAATTATATAATAATATTATATATTATTAATAAATTAATACTAATTAGTTAGTACTTATAAATTAGAAAGAATTAAACTATATTTGCTTAAGATTCGATTATTTGAAAGCAAAGCTATTATTTAAGTTAAAGAGAAAATAATTATTAATTCTATTACTTATAATTCAGTTATATAAGCAAGAAAGATATTTAATCTTATTAAAGAAGGAAATAACTATTAATTCTATTATTTATAATTCGGTTATATAAGTAAAAAAAGTATTTAATTTTACCAAATATTAAAACATTTAGTTATTTAATTATTTTATTTTATTTCTATTTAATTCCTATAAAACTCTCTTAAAAACTACTTTTTTTTTTGAATTTCTAAAGCTCTTAAGTTTTAGAACCGTTAAATTCTCCCGAAATCTCAATATTTTACTTTCTAAATTTCTTATTATAAATAAAATTTTTACCTCGAATATAATATCTTTTATAAATTACTTTTCTCTTTATAAATTTACTCTTCTTATAAATTACTATATTTCGAACTAGGCACTGTGGTGGGGTTTTTTCTTTCTTGTCCCGTAACTACCGTCACGTGTCCTGCTTTCCAGGCATGCTGGCGCTAGTTTAAGGGGTTATATAAGACCTCCGTTCATACGTATAATTAGCCTTCCCAATACATTAACCTTCAGAGCCCCTTATTTTTGACTATTCGTATTATTTCGTTACTAGTACTAAGAGTCTTAAGATTATTATTTCTACTTATTTAGCTTCTTACTCTCTTTACCTCTACTCACGCATCTAACGCCTATATATAGTCCGAAATCCATATAACAATCAAATCCCCATTATAGCACGAGTTTATAAAATCTATTATAATAAAACTATTAGTATAACTATTTCTTTAGAAGTTATATATATAGTTATAGGACTCGGGATACGAGATATAGGTAATAAGATATAGGTAATAGAATATAAATAACGAGATATTAGATACGGGATATAGTTATATAACCTTATATTCTATAAATTACTTAACTAATAAACTAGACTCTATTAGATTTAGCAGATTTAGAAATTATATATTAATACTATAATACTATAATTCTTACTTCTAAATAATAACTACTTTACTAACTTATATAAATAGTATTTTATAACTATATAATAGTACTATATATTTCTAATAAACTAATACTAATTAGTTTATATATATAGATTAGATAGTAAGAAGAATTAAGCTATACTTGCTTAAAATTCGGTTTCTTAAAAATAAAGCTATTATTCTATATTAAAGAAAAAACAACTATTAACTACCTTTATCTATAATTCAGTTCTATAGAGAGGAAAAGGCATTTAATCTTATTAAGGCCTAACTAAGCTATATTAAAGAAAAGAAATAATAGTTACCTTTATCTATAATTCGGTTTTATAAAAAGAAAAGATACTGCTTTTTACTAACTACTAAATAGTTAGCTATTTAACTATCTAACTATTCTATAAAACTACCTTCTTTATAAAAAATCATTCTTCTTATAATTACCTAAATATCTGGAGCTTTTAAGCTTTAGAACTATTAAATTCTTTCGGAATCTCGATATTTTATTTCTTATTATAAACGAAATTTTTATCTTAAATATAATAACTTCTATTTACTTATCTTATAAACTACTCTTCTTTTTATAAAGTTATTCTCCTTATAAATTACTATACTTTAAACTAGATATAAGCCTATAGAATATATAATAACGGAACCTATTATAGTAAATAATTTCTTTATTAAATCTATTTAATTCAATTATTTTATATTTATAAAAAATAATAATTTCAAGAATATAGTAATAAAATAGAGATATAAAATTAATTTAGATATTACTATAGTATAAAAGATATTCGAATTCTTGAATATTAAGCTATTTTAATATATTTTCTATAAAATAGTTAATAATAACTTTTAGGAACTATTTAGATATAACTTTAAAGACTTTATTTATTAAGCGAATTTTAATAAGCTTGAATTTCCGGAGATATTATATCTATATAAGATCCTTTAATATAGTAGTATATATATATATAATAGAATACTAATACTTTTACTATTATAACTATTTTGCTTTTTATTATTAAGAAAGATATATAGTATATCTAAATAAATAAGAACCTATTAGTAGCTAAATTAGATCTTATAAAGAAACTAATTCTATTAGGCTTTATTACTTTTATAAAGAATAAGTATCTAGAACCTATTATTTTTAATATTTCTATACTATTATTACTATTTTTTTCTTTATATTTTATATTTTTACTAGATTTATATATTAGTATAGAAGCTTTAAAAGCAAATAGTATACTTCTACTAGCCTTATTATTACTACTATAACTATATTTAAATACTTCCTAATTATCTTTTTTATCTCTAACTATAAAACTTATTAGAAAAATTACTAAGATCTATATTAAAAAGTAAAAGTATAATAGATTTAATAGTAATTTTAATTATAAACTTACTATTTTCCTCGATATTTACTAATATATAGAGCTTCTATAAAAGGTACTAATACAAGCTTTTTCTACTATATTAAAGAAACTAGCTTAAAACCACTTTTATAATAACTAGCTCTTTTAATATATATATAAAGAGGCTTATATTAATATTTATAGCTTCTTTAAAGGCCCTAAATTTAAATATCGAAATTTAGATAAATAGAATACTATTATATTAGCTTTTATAATAACTAAATTCCCGGAAAAAATAATATTTAAGACTATTTAATTACTAATTAATAAACTATATTAATTATAATATAGTTTTATATCTAACTTATAAAATACCGAATTCTTTTATAATAAGATTATTACCTTTTATTAAGGTTTCCAAATATATAAATATATAATCTCAGACTCTTTTGTAAATCTCGGCTAGCTTATTAATAAGCTCTAGTTATTTATTACTATATATAAAAATAAATAATAAGCCAATTTCGAAATCTTTTTTACTAATTAATAATACTACTTTTAGAATTCTCTAAGCTATTATTTCTCCGGAAATTATTAATATAGACTCAACTATAATTTTGGAATCTATAATAACTACTTTAAGCCCTATAATTATAATAATTATATTCCGAAGTTATATTTTATATATAAGAAACCCGAATATTACTTATAGAAATATATATTAGAGAAATAAGAAGCTAAGAAAGCTTAATTTAGAAATAGAAATATCTATTAGTTCAAATTCCGAAATACTTGTAATTTTAATAAAGACTTTAATAGTACTTATATATAGTATATTACTAAAGCTAAAGGCAAAAATAGTAATAAAAGTAGTAAGAATAAACTAGTAAATAATACTTTTAAGGCTTTATTAGTAGAAATAGATAAAGAAAAGAAATACTATTTAGATTTCTACTTTACTTTAATTAAAAGCTTTTTAACTACTTTTACTACTTCTATTCTACTAATAATTATAGCTAATATTCTTATAAATAACTTTACTTCCTTTTCTTTTATATATTAGATAATAGGCAAAAACCATACTTTAAAGTCTATTAAATTCTTAATAAAAGATGCCTAGACTTTTATAGTTAATAATATATTAAAATATAATACTTACTACTTTTACGAAATTATAATTAATACCGGAGCCTCTAGATATTTAACTACTAGTTCTAATTAATTCCAAGCTCTCTAGCAGACTAATAATAATATTAAACTTAATAAAACTACTAAAGGTTAAATTAATATCTAGTTTAATATTAGATCTATATCTTTTATTAGATCTATAATAGTAAATATATTAATTAGGCAAGTATAATTCTATATTATACTTTTAAAGACTTTATTTTTACTTAAATTAGCTAATATAGATAAGCTAGAGATCTATTTTAATAATCTTACTAATTATTTTATTACTTTTACTAGAAAATATATATCTATAGTATAATATTTCGGATACTTTTTCTTACTTTAAAATACTATACTATAAGGCTTTATTTCCGAATTCTTTACTTATAACTTCTGCTTTTTTATAGAAATCAAATTATAATATTTATATTATTAATTTAGCTATTTATTTATTAGTAAACTCCGGAATATACTAGAATAAACAGGCTATAATATTAATATAAAGGCCTTTAAATATTTTATAAAGTATTATAAATAATACTAGAAATATAGCTAATTATTCGAATAATTTAAGTTTAATCTAAAAGATAATATTAGCTTTAATTAC